TGTTGATGACTGTATTTGCCGACTTCTCCATCAAGGCCAGGAGTGCGGCTCTTCCCTGTCTGCAGCCTCCTGGAGGCCCAACTCACTGTCACTTCCTCCCTCGTGGACTTCAACAGGAGCTTTGTGGTGTGGCTGGCCAGGCCAGGAGCCCCATGCCCTTCACGCAGCCCGAGACAGCAGTGGGTGTTGTGCCTGTTACTGGCTGAACACTCTGAGAGGCCTAAGCTAAATAACTAGGAGAGGACCTGAGCCAGGCCTGGAACGCAGGGACAGAGAGAAGAGGCTCCTGACCACTGTGTCCYGCTGTCCTCTGTTTGGGTTGACAATCTGGAGTAGACAGAAAATATAYGATTAACAGTAATTATTTCCTCTAAAACATGTAAGAAATGAACTAGTCGATATACTTACGAAATTGCATGAGAGARAGCTTCTAATGTGACTCCTCTATCCGAATAACTTAAATTTAGTTGATTAGAATATTCTTTCCATCAATTAATTTAATTGGGCAGTTACTACAGAACAGAAAAGATTTTCTGGAACTGTACTTAAATGAATCTGTAATTTATTTGTGTTAGATAAATCATGTGAAAGAAATGAATTTTGTACTTAATAAGTATTCATTGATTAAATGGACAAATGGCATACATTGGCATTGAAAACTGATTCATTCTCCCTCTTTCCCTCATGACGTATTGCGTTACCAAGGTACCGTTTTATGAATTCTAGCTCTACTCGGAATACGTATAAGACAAGAGTGAAACTTGAGTTTACAAGTGTAGAAAACTGTCAAGAGAGTAACAGCAATGATGCATCAGGTCATGGCTGTTATCCAAGGACATTTATTCTGCGTGTAAGTGGGCATTAGTCTACATTAGGTGCCATATTTCATAGAAGATCTTGACGAGGGGCGAGGCCTTCGCAAGGGTGACAGTGACATTAGTCTCTCACATGCAAACGTGTGCCTCACACTTCAGTGACAGGAAGGTGTGCACAGAGCTCACTGTRAGCTTTCTTGGTGCTGGTGCAATTACTCCTGTGCTTCCTTGACCCTGTGTTGGCTGTTTGGACGACGGGTTAGTACAGAGGCAATGGTAAGGTCCCTCCCTCCACAGATGCCAAACAAGTGACCAGTCCCTCTCAGGACAGGTTTCTCCGAGCTCTGCCCCAAGGAGGAGCTACGCAGTCCACCCTTGGCACGAAGTGAGAAGCCAGTGGAGGCTGGCATGGAGGGGAGAGGCCGGGGGACGCATCTCAGGGGCCAGCGTGCAGACTCGGAGCTGTCCCCGAGTGGGTTCATGGCCCCGTGTCCTCTGGGTTCGTCCCAAGCACAGCACAGACAGCTGCAGCAGCACAGTGCCCTGTGTGGCTAGACGGACCTCCGCTCTGCCCCTCCATAGMGGGCCTGGGTGACCCCGATTTCCCACCTCCGTTCCTGCTCCCTGCCTTGCAGGTGGGCTTCTCCCAACTGCTGCCCTAAGCGTGGCCCAGGGAAGGACACTGGACTCTCTGATCCACAYGGCCCGACTGCTCTCCACCTCTGCAAGCTCACCACTGAGTCCAGTCCGTGCGGCTCTCAGTCGGGCCTCCAAGACTTTGCTTTTCTTCTCTCAAGCTCTTTTAATTCTTAAATGTTGAATTTTAAAACACTAGCATATAGTTGCCCGGAAAAGAAATCTTAAAATCTTGCAGCTGATGGAGGAGGAAGAAGATGTGGATTGTGACAAAGAAAGAATTGTGGGCAGGCTGTGTTCTCCCCACTCCCAAATCCGGAGACTTTAATGTAACACTTCCTGCCTCCGAACCAGGAAAGGCAGAATCTGTGGGTAGCCCCCAGGGCTGCAGGAATCCAAGACCCTACTGCTCTGTACCGCGGCCTGTGGGTGGCAGCTGGGAAAATCATGGCCACTCAGGCCACGTGACTATCCAGGATAAAGACTCTACACAGGCGCGATTGAGCTTTGCGTAGTTGTCAGTGGGAAGACTGAGAATTGTCACTCTTGGTTCCACCATGCTKCAAGAAAGCAGTGATTCAGGAATCACCACTGGTGGCATGAGGGGAGGTGACCTTCAGGGGGCGAAGAAGCAGACGATAAGGATGGAGATGAAGCACAGTGACTGAGGTGCTAGCTAAAGTTTTCAAAAATTAAGGATTACAATTAAGTAATTATAGGTAGATCATGTGACTTAAAGAGGCTTTACCTGTTCAAGAGACACAACAAGTATTTATAGAGGAAACCCTCAAATGCCGAGAACTGCTTTAAATGCAAAGCTTTAATGAACAAAATTGACAATTATATTTGCCCTGAGTGTGCCCTTACACTTCATTTCAGATATTTCCTTTGGTAGCTTCCTAAGAAGTGTGGATTAAGACAAGAATAATCTGCTATTGAGATGCATTTCGAGGATGAAGATAAGTTGCTAAGAAGAAACAAAATGAAAAAAACAAACATGCTCTAGATTCATTTCCAACACTCACAGCTGAAGGTCTGAGGAGGAACCAGACCCTGTGCTTCTAGGAAACGTAGAGCTGTGCTGCTGCTCCACGTGTACTTCCAACAACTCACTCAAAGTAGAACCACTGGAAACCATAATTCCCCTCGCAATGGTAGATCAGTTTCTGGGAACCAGTTTTAATAAGGCAAGTGGGAGTCCAGCTTCAAAGCAGGCGGCCAACGGGCAGAGACTGCTGGGCCAAGGGGCAGGGACTGCTGCTTCTGGTTCACTTGTTGGTGACATCTGCATGATTAGGGGCCCTGGCCCTGAGACTCCAGTGCCACGTGTCCTTGAGTCTCTCTGTGCCTTGTGGCCTCCTGGGAGCTAAGCCGAGTGTGTACATGTATTTCGTGTGTTCGAGCCAGACTGGGATTTGAAGTTGACTGGTAGGCATGGCAGAAGATGGTGAGATTTAGTCACCTTTCCCAGGTGGGGACAGCTGGGGCTGATGCCAGGTGGGCACAGATGCAGGGGGTGGGGCACAGTAGCCTCCCATGCACGACTTCCCCAGAGCAGAGCTGCTTTCTCAAAGTGTGACGTGCTTAGAAAGGCTCTGTGGCTACTCTGATTCATAGTTCAAATAAACAAGTATTTATTGAGTGTCTCTCTGATATGCAACGGCTCTAAATGATTCAAAGTTCCAAAGTGTAAATTGTATCATAAAGGTCTCCTAGCTGGAGTTGTGCACTGATAACTGTCCTTTTATGGTTTTCTAATTAATACTGTTAGCATAGTGTGCTTCAGGTGAATTCACATCTGCAGTCATGGCACCCTCAAGAACATGCTGCTAAAGGCATCGGTTAGGGAGTGCAGACTCATTGCCCGTTGGAGGGGTGCAGGCTCGCACTGTGCTTTCTGTCAGAGACCTTCAGAGTCATGATATACCCACTGGTTCTGAAAAACAAACTTGTGCCCATCTTTATTTAGGCAATGCAATTCATTTGGACAGTAAATACCAAGTTTTAAAAGTAAATTTTGGTTGGGTCCAGTGGCATATGCCTTTAATCCCAGTGGTTTGGGATGATGAGGCAGGAGGATTACAAGTTCAAAGCCAGCCTCAGCAACTTAGTGAGGCCCTAAGCAAGTCAGGGAGATGCTATCTGTAAATAAAATATAAAAAGGGCTAAGAATGTGGTTAAGTTGTTGAGAGCCCCTGGTTCAATACCTGGTTTTAAAAAAAAAGTGAATTTTGACAGAGTAGGCTAACTTTTAGCTGATTATTTCCGTAGTATATTTAAGCACTGGGAAAGTTGTCCAAAGTGATCTTGTCACATTAGCATATGAAGGACAGCAGACATTGTGTCTGGCTCTGGGTAGGCAGGCCAGTCAGGACACATCACGAAATCCCAACCCAATGGGAAAGGAAAAGCTGTAGGCGATGGTCACATGAAGAAGTGTGACTGGCAACGACACGCTTTGTGTCATTTTATGGTAACATAAATGGGGAGAGCCAGCGGGGCTGGGGTGCAGGTAGCACCCACCTCAARTGCACGTCCCTGGACTCGGTGTGAGGCTCCTAGGGCAGCGACTGGCCTGCTGGTGCTCAGCCCAGGGSAGGGGGAACAGGCCCCCATCAGGTCAGGTCCCTCCTGGGGCCCTTCCTGGGAGGGCCCTGTGCCTGATGGCGGTGGTGGTGGGGAAACGAAGCCCAGCTTCTTCCCTGTGCGCCTCTGTGAAGTCGGCTTCTCCTTTTCCTTCCCAAGACCCAGCCCAAGTGATCAGTGTGAGCCTCGAGTCCAGGAGACCTTAGATTTCCAAAATCACCTGTTGTTAAAAAGACATCCCCAAAGAAGAGGGCAGGCGAAGCACTTTTACCCCCATCCCGAGCCGCTCATTCTGGTTGGGGATTGCTGTGCTTCCCTTGGCCTTCAGGCCACCCCCAGGACGGAGAGACAGGAGGCGCTGCTGTCCTCCRGCTTCCAGAGCCCACTGCTGTCTTCGTTCTCCACACTTTGAATAACATCTCCCTGCCTGTGTGCATTGACCATAAGGACGCCTGGCATCGTCTTTGTAGAGAGAACTAAAGGTTGAAAGAGGCTTGGGGACCGTCCTTCTGCCCTCCTCATCTGAGCAGGGCTGGGCCAAGGGGCGGGGACTGCTGCTTCTGGTTCACTTGTTGGTGACATCTGCATGGTTAGGGGCCATGGCCCTGAGACTCCAGTGCCATGTGTCCTTGAGTCTCTCTGTGCCTTGTGGCCTCCTGGGAGCTAGTCCGAGTGTGTACACGTATCTGGTGTGTTCGAGCCAGACTGGGATTTGAAGTCGACGGATTGATACTGAYGTTTCCTATGGTGCTGTCACCGTGAGGTCATCCTGTGAGCCTTTGCAAATCCAATATGAAAGTTTCCTAGTGCACGTTGGGACACTAACCAGGAACCCGCAGGCTGAGCAGAATCCACCTGCCAACTTTAGTTCATGTTCCTTAGAAGCTGATTGAAGTCCCAGATGAATATGATATCTGTCGCACCGTCAAATGCCGTAGCAGGTAACCGTGTTTCTCTTTCCAGCCAGGACCTGTGGATCGAATCTGCGTGGGCCCAGTGGCGTCATCACCTCCCCGAACTACCCGGTTCAGTACGAAGACAACGCACACTGTGTGTGGGTGATCACCACCGCTGACCCAGACAAGGTGAGGCTGCGGCTCCCAGGGTGTGCTGCCTCAGGTGACACGCGGGCTCGGGCCACTGTGTAAAGCACACCCCCCTGACTTTGCCACTGGCATTGAAAGCCCAGCACTGCTTGTGTGCAATGCCCACACCGGGGAAAGCAGTGTAGTCAGAGGGTCACGCTGTCCTCTTGCTCTCCTCTCCTGGTGGTGTCCAGCTAGGTCTGGGCATGCTGCCCTCAGGGCTCGCAGCCCTTCCCGCCGTGGGTGTCCCATCAGCGGCTCCACCCAGRCCCAGCGTTTCTGCACATGCCACTCAGTGTGATGGGCTCTCCTCCTGTGCCTACATGCAGAGAGCTCTTTTTACAGCACGTGAAAACCCACAGGCTCTTTTTCCTTAGGATCTCTGTGCTTTCCTAAGAGCCAGACGGGTGGCCTTGCTTTGGGTGATTTCTCACCTTCGGTGGCACTAAGTAGCAGGTGTGCCCCCCCTGGCAGTAGAGGACGGTGGAGACAGGTTAGTTCTCATGGGTGTCTCACACACAGCCTACGATTGTGTTACTGCATCTGAATAATCCACCAGGAGAGCACATTCAGAATCGCCTTGTGTCTGCTAGAGTTGGGTTGTTTTTAATTTGGTTGAAACGCAATTGGGATTCCKACCAGTGGAAACAGGAAAACAAAGGTGGTACATCTTTATATTGATTTGATTTAAAAACTGACAGAAAATCATTCTGAGTGTGGATTTTAGATAAACTAAAATAAACAATGTTCAGAGCCTATGTTTATAGTAATATTAGATTTAGAAGGATCACTCCGCTGCCGAGTCTCCATCGTTTGCAGCAGGGCTGTGTCTGCAGGGCTCACGGGGTGGGGTCTATGTCTGCGCAGTCTGGGTCGTCTGCATGGGCTCCTGGGTGCCCCAGCACCCGCCCAGGAGCAGAGCCATTCTGACTGCACTGGGGGAAGTCTCCCAGATGCCAGAAAACAAAGAAGKTTTCCTTTGCTGATTTCTGTCCTGCAGCAAGGCCACTGCTGTGTGACAGGACAGCGGTAATAAAGGGCTGTGGGCTTCCTCCCTCAACACAGAGGGTCAGAGCTGCCACAGCTCTTGCCAAAAAACCCGGTTTTCTGATGGTTGGGTCCTCAGTGTTCTGGGGCCATGTGTCACCTGGGCTGAGTCGCTCCACTGTGGCCCACTTGGTCTCCGCATGCAGGTCAATRACTCACCCAAGTTCTTACCCAGCTCTGCTGTTTCCAAGCCTCATTCTCAGCCCTTAGAAGCAGCTCTGCCCCTCAGTAGCTCCATGACCTTGGGCAAGGGAGCCGAGTTCCCTGAGCCTCAGGGATAGTAAGAGCGTGTGATAAGAAGACTTCTCTGGAAAGTGGCTGTGAAGAGGACCACATCCACGTGTGTGCCTAAGTAGCTGCAATACCGTGGCCAACTTTCAGTCATAAAAAATGTAAAGTTAGTCAACAATTTGACGACCGTTTACCAAGCCGTTGCATTTATGTGTCTATCAAAAAGGAGTTTTATTTAAAACTGAATTKTAAAAGTATATCATGTTACTAGTTTAGAATTGTTTTAAGTAATGTCTACGTTCACATAAATTTAAACATTATTCTGTTCAGTCTCTAGCAAGGTAAATTATGTGACCTTGAGAATTTAGCAAAGGTCCTGAAGCTTAGATGGAGAAGCTTTAGGGAGACATACCAGCGCAGTCCAACTTGTTGGGAATGCYCTAGGCGGAGTATTGAAGTAGCTCTAGAAGGTGACATGCGCTGCACTGGGGGTCCCTGTAATGGGAATGCCACTTGCGCTAAAGATCTGACTGGGACATTGTGAAGCACTGGGTGTGCTACTGTGCCTTTACAGTAAGTCACAGGCTTAGTTGACGTCACATGTTCCKTGTGGCCCTGTGAACATCACGTGAGGCCATCCCACAAAGGCAGTGGGTGAGAGGGCCACTCAGGAGCTCCAGGCACCCACCCCAGCAGGTCCTGCGGTCTCTGTGTGTTCTTATGCTGTGCTTAGCTCACCCCTGGTTACCCTGATCCCTGGCAACCACTGCTACCCTCAGCTGCTCCCAGAACCTCGCACTTCCTGCCCTGGGGCTGAGACCCCACCAGTGAAGCCCTCTGGAGTCCTCTTTGTCTTCAGGGCACAGACCAAACCCCGAGCAGGAGGCTGCTAACACGACCCTTTGCCAGGACGGGGGCACAAACACTCCCTCTAGTGGTGGGGCAGGGAGTCCAGAGGTGCAGTCCACAGGGCTCTGCAGGCTTCCCACAGGAGGGAGCAGTGCCCATGGAAACAGCCCAGCACCCACTCCAGGTGGGGTTTCTCCAGTCCTTCCCTCATGTCCTTTAGGATCACAGTCAAAAGCAAACAAGGCCCTGCTTATCCCAGGGAAAGCCCCAGATAAGACACACACGACAGCAGCCATGGCATAAGCTCTCCCTACAGGCCCCTCCTGGGCACAGGGGAAAACGTGTGGCAGRAGGTTCTAGGAGAGGTGGAGGCACAGCTGCAGATCTGCTCTGACACGCTGAGCGATGGACGATGACAGTTGACACGGAGTGGGCTCTGAGGCAGCACAAGGGAGAGGATCCAAGGTTGTCTGAGATGGAGGCTGGGCAGGACGTGGTGCCCAGTTGATGGTGAGGGAGAGGGAGGCCCAGGCGAGGCCCTGGTTCTCTGGTGCAGCACTAYGTCGTCCCACACGGCTCCACCCTGAGTCGCTCTCCAGCAGGTGCTGTGAGTCGTGGGAAAGGGAAGGAAGAGCAACTTGGAAGGTGGGTGAGGAGCCCTTCTGAGTGCCAGCTGTGCTCCGGTCTCCCTGGAGGAGCCTCGYCAGGCCCACTGCCTGGCACCAGGGCCCACAGCACCCTGACTGGTATTACCGTTGTCCCAGTTTGGAGCAATGCATTCTCCCTTCCTCTAACCACGAAGGGACCTCGAGAACCCATGGTGCGATGTGGAGGGCTGTTTGGTGGTCGGCAGCAGGGGGTGAGGACCTGCTGCAGATCTAAGCAGACACAGCTCCCAGAGGCAAACCTGGAAGTCACAAGTGTGGCGTTAACACTGGAAACCAGAGACAGGGACCGAGGTGTCAGGAGCAGTGAGGAGTCATGGGAAGCCATGCCTTGCTTTCCTTTCTAGGACAGTGAAGGAGGGTTTGCCCTCAGCTGCAGGGAATGCCCTCGCACCACCTGGCCGTACACGCGGTCAAAGGCAAGCTCTTTTCCTGTGCGAGGAACACTCAGAACTCTTCAGCTGAGAAGACTGTGCCTCCGAGCTGATCTTCAGGTGACCTCATGAACACCTTTCCAGTATTTTCAAAATGCATTTAGGTGCATTTACACATGCCTGATGATAAATATTCTCTAAAGTACATTAAAGATATGCATATACACAGGATTTTCTCCCTCTKTCCAATACATGCAGAAATACTGAAATTTCTCACTGAAAGGGAGCTCAGGGTCCCTGTTGCCCAAAAACCAAGGTTCAGGAAGCCAGAGCCCTGAGCTCCGGAGGCACCCACAGCACTTCCCTGCCATCTGCAAGGAGAGCCACTTCCTTTGCCTCTCTCTAGTGTGCCATCACTTTGATGAATCCTATAAGAAAATGGAATAATGAGATGATATTGGAAGTAATCGAACACACTGACAGGAGCTCTGGTCAGAGGGACAGAAGAGCCAAAAGGGCAGCAGCAGGAGAGTCCACGATTCTTCCCACAGCACAGTAACCCCCTCCAGCGCCCTGGCATTGCCATCCTCTGTCCATGCACAGCAGCGACATCTCAACCCGGGGCAGCCAGGTGGCCAAGGCTCTCCAGACTTTGGTCCCAGGCAGACGCACTTTCCATGAAGACACACGGCCTCTGGTACCGACACAGGAAGAAACCCTCCTCAATGTGCCTGGCAGAGTTCCTTGGGCCCTGCTGAGTCAAGGCCTGGGGTGCAGCTCCCAGGGAGCCGGAGGAGAAAAACACCCCAAAGCCAGGAGAAGGGACCGTCAGTACAGGGYGCCCTGTGGGGTGTGCCCCGTGCAGAGCAGCAGCACGCCGGGAAGAGAGCAGGTGTCCACCTGCTGTGCCATGTCCCCAAAGCCTCTCCTCTTGCTCTTTCCCTAGACTCCCCTGGGCGTCTAGTTAGTCAGGAACAAGAGTGTGTTCTTGGACTTCTCCAGGCTGATTGCTGAACCTGCCCCAGCTATAACATGCAGACGATGGCTTCCGTGCACAGTTTGGGGCTATGTTTCTCTCTRTGTTGGAAGTTTCACTTTCTCTGTCGTCTGTGCAGATTTCGGAAAGGTCMTGTGTGAGCTCAGTTGATTCTGAACACCCAATCATTCCCTCACACTTCAGGAAACTGTGTCATTCTGCTTCATCACTTCTGTCGTAGAAAGGTTCGGGGAAGGAACGGAGAATCCCAGATGGATCCCCTCGCGCACACCAGCAGTCAGAACACCACTTAGACACCTGAAGRCATCTCGATTAAGCAGAATCACCATCCAAATTAAGCACCAGTCATTGCCATTAAGTATAATTAGGCTTAATTTGATCCCTGGGAGACATTTCAAATAAGCGTTTTCCGAAGAAGCGCTGGGCGAAGGAGTTGTGTTACAATGGAGCAGAGAGAGGAGGAGTCACGGCAAGCCTCCAGACAATGTCTCCTGCCAGAGCACTCATGGAGAGTTCTAGAAGAATCCCTGTCCCTCCGGGTGTGTGCTTGACCTCATCAGATATGCAAGCTCTTAACAAATAAGGCAGAACAGAAAAYGGAAACTCCCAGGGTCGGGAGGAGGCGAGTTCATACAGTCTGCGATTGGACCTGAATCCTCTCTTGATGGTGCGCACGCTCCTGGCAGGGACTCTGGATGGATCTTGTACAATCAGGAGCCGTCCATCAGGTTTTGCCGGTTATTTATAGAAAATTGCTCATAGAAAATAACCAATGGAGGAAGCTTGGAGTCTAGGGAATGTATTTACATATATTTTGGAATGTCAAGTTGAGAGGAA